ATTTTTAAAATATCATCTTTTTTTTTGAAAACATAAAACTGTTTTTAATGTTATAAAAATATTTGTACCTATATCACATACTGGGAAAATCTCAGATACTATAGAAATACAAAATAATATTTCAGCGATACTTAACAAAATAATATATTACACTAATAATAATTTTCCACGAAACATTTAGACAATTTGTTTGTAATTTAGGTAGCAATTAATTGAAAACAGGCATTCGGTGTGGCGCAGTGGTTATTCTAGGTGAGTTAATGACAAGCGGCACCTGAAGTTAAGCTACGTGTGTCGGCACTTAGTCACGGATGGGTGGCCACGCGGATTTTTTATGGCCAACTTTGTCTTCAAATCAACCCAGTTGAAACCCGTTCAACCACAAAACTGACCGAAATTCACAAACCAACATTCCAATAGCTGCCAAAACAGTAAAAAAATGCGTTAATTAAACGTGTTAAATCTAGAGAAACATATTTTTCTACAAATAGTTTATATCTGAAAATCGCACTTATTTATTTTATGTAAAAAAAAACACCATCATCTCATGGCCCGTTAGCTAACTCGATGAAGAAAAACCAAAAAACCAAAATATAATGATTGAATGTGCATAATATACGTGGGTAGGTACTCTTCGCTGTAGACATCTCTTAGTGTAGTGTTGTTAATTGCTCATATAAATATACAGAGGTGTGCATGTGTCAACAATCACAGAAATGTGTTGATATGATTAATACTGTACTACCAGAATCTAGTAAAAAATTACAAAATCGCAATTAACGTTTGTAAAATGGCCACCTCTGCTTGTATTTGTACGCTGAAAGTGTATGTACTAGCCGGTGTGCGGTTTTTTTTTTTATATTACAAAATGGGCGGAGTCGTTGTGTTAAGACGATGGTGCGACTCCGGTTTCCGGTTGTTGCGATTCAAAGGGAAAAATTTAAAAAGTAAAAAAACGCTTTTTGACAACCCGCGGTCGGCTTACCCCCGGGGGCATACCGCGGCGGCGTTAACGCAATCGACGCCTTGGCGAGCGCACACAATGAGTAGCTGATTATTGAAACCTTTGACGGGGTCGGCGGCGGCGGATGGGGGGATCCGGATGGCAGGGTTTTTTTTTTTAAGTTTAAAATTACAAAAAAAAAATATATATAATGATATCATACTATACACACACACACACACAGGGTCGTTGGTGTGTCAATGGACCGTTGATTTTTTAACGCGCGCGCCGACTTGGGCCCCTAAAACGGATTACTCACACTGTCGGGGGTCGGGGCCGGCACGAGTGGGGAGGGTCAAAAACGGCAGAGATAGGGACCGGGCGGACGCGTGTGTTGGCCGCGGCGTTCTTCGGCACAGACTGTGGCTAAGGCAACAGCTCCACAGACGTACCCAAACGCACACATTCGGGCGGTACATATAAATTTCTTTTCCGCAGTGTTTTTTTCCCTTCTCTCTATCTCTCTCTCTCTATCGGTCGGAGCTCATTCTCGGTCCAATATGTATGTATTCAAAAATTATTATTCATCCGACGATGGCCGTCGCCGCAAGACCCTCCCGAGCTAATTACCAAGTTAATACGTCCCAGAGTGCCGCCGCTGTATCGCCTATTCCGTGCAAAACACACACACCTATATATATATAACAATAATATAGTACATATTATACGAAACGTTATAACGCCATTCGGAAAGCGCCTCATGCAAGTTTCATCGAGGCAACAAGCCAAGCCGATAGATTATGCAAGCAGCACATCAAAACACTACACCTATACACCGACCCAGCCGCATATGATATTGCAGCAGACTTTGCGCGCGTTGGCCGAAGCGCTTTTCGCCGTGCCGGCAGACCACACCCACCGGCGACGGCTGCGTAAGTCAGTTGTGCCCAAGTATAAATGCAATCGTGTCACTCCAAAATTTACTATACCACGGTCTATGATAACTCAAACTATATGTATACTCGACTAGTGGCAGTAAGTTTTGGTTAGGTTAGTTTAACAGAGGGGGGTAGCCAATTTTCTAATGCCTAAGCCAAAATATGTCAGGACGCGGGGAAATGGTCCATTGTGGAACGTAGACTTACACTATTAGGTTGGCTATCTTCTTACTTAAATTCATATACATTGCACGAAGACAGAAGAACAGCAAATGATGATTACCATGACCGTTGGAAGGAATTACAATGAAATATAGAGAAAAGTAAGTAAAGAAATACTCTACAGAAATGGACTTTTTAATGGTACCTAATATTAAATCGACTACCCAATAAATAAATAAGTTTATAATCGGTTTGTTAAAAAAAAAAAGTGCAAGTAGTATGAAAATTAATAATATCGCTACCTAGGCCAGGCCAATTTAAGACCACTTGTAAGTGGATAAAAGGTGCCGGCCCACCTCACACTCTGACCAGCAAACGACGCCCCTGGCTAGAATATCTCATGATATTTTAACAACATATAATTTGGCACCATTAAGCATCATTGCAAAGAAAAGTACCACGTGTAATACCCTGTATAACATTGTAGATTACGTGGTAACGGGAAACCTACCCAGAGGTGGTGGATTTGAAGATCTCCAGCCTCTAGGCAAACAATATTCAACACCCTATCACGGTATAACCACATTGTAATCTTTGCTGAAAACAACTAAAGTTGTAATGTTTGTGATCTATATAAATAATGGTTTTCGAGGCGCATGTCACTTGTGGTAGTATAAGATTTCAGGTTTAAACAAAACTGTAGAAGAGCTATTGATTAGTCTTCGTCACTAACCATACACATAATAAATGTATTTCCAATAATAAATGTTGCCATACACTTTGCAGATTGTTGAACAAAGCAAAACATTAACTGTTAAATTATGTTATAGTTATTACAATTTATAATAAGTGTATCGATTCTAGTTTCTACTGTAATTTTTTTATGAAACGATATTGTACTACATGTAAAAATTTACAGTGTTCGACAAATCGTCCGAACGGATTTTATTACCCATTATTAAAATGTTAAATTCTTCTAGTATTTCGGATTGTGTTGTATATTCTTCTTACAATGCAATAATCAAATTTTATGGTTGGTAATTGTGAATTGAGAATGGCACTTTTTCTAGATTCCGTTGGCCTTGCGGTAATTATACTCATGTACACAAAACTACAAAAAAAAGTGATAATAATAATTATAATAATCAAAGTCCAAACAAGTGGCAATCGCTCAAGAACGAGAGGCTAGGCCTTGTAGAGGTAGAAGCTCGCCGAGGCTTTTGACCGGCATATATATATATATACTTAAATTGAATAATATGTTGTATATATTTATATATTATGTACAACTACACAGCTGTAATCCAGAGATAATATGAAAATTCGTGGGAAAACACACACACGGCGGATGTAGTAGTAGTATAAAAAGCGTGTTGCGAACTTTTGCGTTTTGACAAAAAGGGTTTTTCGCCGGGGATAAGAGCAAAAAGAAGATATACAGGTTGTGTACCTAACTAGCTGCGGGGGCGGCGGGGCGTGGGACCGTTACACGGTTGATATAAAAATTTCGAAAGTGTATTATAATGCTTTCCGGGTAGGGAAAGGGGCGAAGGGGCGGGGCAGCGGCAGCGGGGAGGGAGGAATGTATAAATAAGTGGACCCCCGAGAAGTTTTTCTTCGGGCAAAACAAACACACAATGGTCGACGGCCGAGGTTTTGTGTGTGTGTGTGTGTACTATGATGGATGGAGCGCGAAAAAAGGCGGCGGACAAAACGGGTATTATTTGGAATATTTTTTTTTTCTTTTTCTTTTGATTGATTGCCCGGACACGGGATGATAGCTGTTATATTCTTTTTTTTTGCACACAACCAACAGCCTCGACTGAATTCAATATTACCACCGTGTCCGCTGCCGTCGTACGTTCTCTTATATAACATGTGACATGTCGTTAATGTCATATGAAAAAAAAAAATACAGTTGTATCTCCTCCCCCCAACCCGCAAAAAAAAAAAACATCCTGACGTCAAACAAAAAAAAAAAAATATTCAATTTATATCAAGTCAGATTTGCTATAGTTCCCTCAAACCTGTATATTATCTTGTGTACATACTATTTTAGGTAGGTAATCTTATATTACCTACTTAGAAAATGAGTAGTATTACAGCTGCGATTACAACTACCGAGTTAAGTATTAAGAAAGATACATCACTTTTTTCATGGATAACCAAAAAAACAAGTGGAGTATTTTTGAATTTACTTTACCAAGTTGGGCACCTTTTGCAGTTTTACACTTACAGTAGTCACGTGAATAATTCATCATTTTCGCAGATAGCAGACGTCATTGTAATTCATATTTTTTACATCCTATTATGAAACGTTCGATTTCCAATATGCTGTAAAGAAGCAGACTCGCTTTCATCCTCTTTGTTGTGGCAACCGAGACTGAGAGTGGAGGATTATATACCTAGGTACTCCAATTATATAGTAAACACACGGTAACTTATATAATATTTTTGACATTTTAGATTGAATTGTTTGAATATTGTCAAAAATACATTCGTTAAATCATTTAATTTTATACATTTTTAATGTTATATAATGTAGTATTGTCGTGGCAGTGAATTAATAAAATAAATCTTTAAAATCGCTTATTTCTTATAGACTTATAAGTCTTAACTTGAATACTCATCCTTAAACAATTTTTGTGTTTGTTCACTGTTAAGTCTTCAATAACTACTAATTATGTTGTTTGGCACGATTTAATATTGTAATTTATCGTTAAAAAAAAACTTAATGCCAACTTACTGTTATTATTTTTCATAATATTAAATATTTATAAAAAGTAATAACCATAATCACTAATGGCCGTTGTTCACACAAACACCAATCATACACAACTAAATTATAGTCATTTTTTATAATAAACAAAAAAACACAAGTGTGTAATTTATATCAAAGACAATTTTATTAAAGATATCAACTCATAAATAAAAATAGTATAATTTGAACTCTCAAATTTATGCACAAACAAAATACGTAATGTCTGTAAAAAAACGGTTTAAAATGTTTTAACTAAATTAGCAGCGATAATGGAAGAACATAATTAATGCATTAAAACAAAATAACTGTATTACTTTAATAGAAAATAATATCATGATTATACTACTAACATATTGAGTGGAACTTAAACTCAATACAACCGAGACTATCGTATAGTTACTACGAAAACAACCGGTTTTTAAAAGTCATAAAAAATTAAACCCATCAATTACAAATTACAGGTGTTATAATTGACTAAAAAAATTTAAATAATTTTAATATTCCCATTTTATTCAGATTCCATTGGTTGCCCGGTCGGACTCTCGTCGAAAACTAATTTAAATTAAAAAATATATACATAAACACTGTATTATTGCTAATTAAACAATTCATTTTTACAAAGTGTATAACTTGAGTAAATAAAAGTATTGACTTGTCCGATGTTTCTTTATTAAATAAACGTAAAAAGTTGTACTATAAAATAATCAAAATAATTAAAGTAAAAAAAAGACAATTTCTTTACAAACAAAAATTACCGTTCATTAGAGTAAGACGATATTGTAATATATTGTGTTTTATTTATACACTTGATAAAAAAAATGTACTATAAATATAAGTCGCATGTAATAATAATATTAATTATTTATTTAAAGTGAACTAAGCATATTTTTTGAAGAATAATCTTAGAAGATATATGTCGTAAAAGTATTAATCAGTTTTTCATTTAAAAATCTACAATTATTTTCTAAGTCCATAACTAATTCGAAGAAATTAAATTACACAGTACAATATAAACTATTTTGTTGATGGTCAAATTTGAATATCTTATACAATACTTATACTTACACAATGTTTTTTTTTTTTGAAAACGTAAAAGGATTACGCGTTTATTTTCATAATAACAATATATGAAAATATAAAATGTTTATCATTGTTGTGTAATACCTAACTAACATTGAGTATAGAAGGGGGATAACGAGGGGGTCACACGTGAAGAAGCCACTGGATTATTATCACATGGAAAATTATGGATCCGATTCATTATACCTATAACGCATCATCTTCTTCACACAATCTTTGTAAGTCTCACGAGGCCCGGGAACCACTCCCACTGCCCTAGTGCCGAGTCCGGCATTGGCCAGTCGACCTTCGGCTTCTATAATAGTAGTCCGTCCCTGATTCGTCTTGCCTAAACCCATTCCTTCTTGCCATCCCATTTTTTGCAACAGCCTGTTGCCTTTATTGTCGGATCCGATTCCCAACTTGGTAGGTTGTTCGTAATCCACACTGGCTTCTTTAGCTTTCATGTATTTGTCTTTCAAGTGGTTTATCGGTTTGTCCGGTTCGTTGTACTTCATCCGGCGTTCTTTGGCTCGGTCCCTGTACTGGCTTACGCGCATCGACTCGTCGTCGGGATCCAAACCTCTCTCCTTGTACCAGTTTTTCAGATTTTGTTTGTGCAGATCCGACATTTGCTGATGCTTTATCAATATGTCTTTACTGCCGAATTGCCTTTTGCACAGCAGACAGGCGAGTTTGTTCCAGTCCGTGTGCTGTTCGTCTTCGTCGCGGTTGGCCTCTTCCATCACATCATTGTCGTTGTCACTGGCGTCTTCTGGGGGCGCCGGAGCGGCAACGGTCGCGGCGAAAGATCTCTTGTCGGCCGCCTTTGATCCCATCACCGTGTATCCAATGTCGGCTGCAGCTTGCATTCGGGCCGCTTGCGACGCTACCTGAGGGGACACCATACTCTGTTTGGCCGTTATTTTTTTCTGATTTAAAGTCTTCGCCCATTTTTCCATGTCTTTTGCTATGCGTTTCGCCACCTTCACTTTGTCGTCGTCTTTCGGCTTTTCTTCCGACGCCGTCGTCTCTTCCTTGGCGGTTTCCGCACCGGCGACGGCGGCGGCTCCGTCCTTATTGTTGGTAGGCGCCAACAAGTATGTTTTCCTCGTGCCGTCCCAATACACGAAGTTGTTGGTCGACGGATTAAAGTAATACTGAGAATTTGCATCGTAATAGAGCTTCGTGTACGGGTCGTAGTAATATCCGGACGTGCTGTCGTACTGATACGTGGACACGTCGGGCGGAGGGTAAGTAGTTTCGCCTTTGCCGGACGGGGGTTGGCTGAGAGGCACGTTGGGTTTGGCCGCGGTCATCGTTGGTACGACTTGAGGCATCACAACAGCGCCCGCCGTCATGGCTGCTGGCGGTGTCGCCGACATGTTGGGAAGAGATATCGACTCGCCCTTTTGTATTTTATCCATATAATAATTGGTGTAGTATTGTGTGTACGACGCGCGTTCGGCCGGAGTCTTAGCGTACATGTTTGCACTGTACTCGGCCAGCTTAGGAATATCGGCCGGCGAGTAACCGGGAGTGTCCGGCTTTTGGTTGCTCCACTTGGCCGCTTCCACCGCGGCATTTCCCATGGAAGCGGTGGCGACCGGTCCCACTGGTGTGAGCTTACAATAGGAGACCAGCACTTCTTTGCCGTCGATCAGCAGCGGATCCTCTACGACTAGCGCGTTGTGCAGGTACATTGCGTCCACCACGTTGTTCATTTCCAAATAACAAATGCCCTTGGACACGTTCGTCACAGGATTTCGGCCGATACGCACGCTGCGAATCGGTAACGTCGACAGGGTCTGTATCGCTTTCAGCACGTTTTCCTCGGTGGTCAGTATGTCCAATCCCCGCAATAGCACCGTATGTGTAGGGAACGAGCTGACTTCCTTGGAATGATCGAATATCTCGCCGGTCTCCCGGGACGCACCGCAAACGAAACAGCTTTCTCTGCGTTTGAAATTGTGAGCGTTGCACTTGCACCACCAATCGGTCAGCATTTTCTCCGGGTCGATTTTCGAAATCGTATACTGCATGATGGCGCGAAAATTGTCTCTCAACATCATTTCTCCTTGTTTGGATTCCATTAGGGTTTCGGCTTCGGCCTTTGTGAAAAATTCCACAAACGCAAATCCGCGGGACGAACCGGTGTCTTTTTTTCTAATCAGTCTTATGTCGACCGGAGTGAGCCCGCACTTCAATATCTCCTTTCTGATGTCGTTTTCAGAAATGTGCGGTGCCAACCCTCGGATAATGATGGTCTTGTTGGGTATTTGCTTTTTAAACGTGTACCTGTCAAAGTCTTCTTCGCGGTAATACTCTTGCGACGAGTCCTGGTGCCTTCTTGTATCGGCCGTATCGTAATATCGACGACTACTGGAAGACTGTTCAGAATATATGTTCCTGACTTTGTGACCTTCAGAGCCTTCGGCACTCCTCGAACGCCGTTTCCGCCGTTCTTCGTCGCTACTGTACTGGCTCGTTTGCGAATCCCTATCTCCCGGAGAATATCTACCCCTGCGCCTGGGCGATCTAGATTTACTCCTACTCCTACTCCTCGATCTATGGTGTTTCTTATGCTTACTCCGTCGCCTACTCCTATGTCTACTAGAACTTCTATCGCGCCTACTCTTTTGGTTATAATCGCCACTGCGGCCGCGTTCTCTACCGCGGTCTGTATCGGAAAACGTACCACCATTATTTCTACAGTAGTTGCCCTTGTTGCCGGTCGATTCATATTCGTTATTTGTACTGCGGTAAGACCCATTGGAACGAGGAGACGAATCATACGCTACCAAATCCATTTCTACGCTGCGTCTCGCAGATGGGCTAACGTCATCGGTTGAGTCATAACCGCAAGTGTCCTTGACCACAAATCCTTCCATCTTTGAAATGAAACAAAAAACATAACTGATTAGTTGAAAATATTTTTATTACTTTTATTCACTGCCATATAACGCCATTGGTCCCTTTTACGACCTTCTTCAGGACAAATGTCCTTATACTTACTCAATGCGAATTATATAGTACATACATAATGCTACTGTGCATAATGTATTTAACAAAACCGGTAATTTCATATGGCGTTCATATTATTTAAAAAATAGAAAATACAATATTTTAAAGAGATTCCGATACCAATTAAACTATTTATTTTTTCGACAGTTAAATAAATTGTAATTAAACGTAGTATGCTACAGTTAAATATAGTGTAATTGGATACAACCCATACCTTATGCAGACAATCGGTTAAGCAGTGCAGTCAACGTAGAATTTAACTTTTTCTTGACGATGTGCACAATTGAATGATCTGTAATATAATTCGTAGTGCAATTGAGTATGAAAATTATTAAAAAAAATTATGAACAAACGACACTTCGTCTACTATGACGACCAATCTGTCAGAAGTTCAAGTTGAATTTGGGACGCACATCCAAAATATAGTAATTGGTTAAGAGTTCGCACTTTTTTTTTTTTATACATGACTAACCTTTGAATATAGTTAGATTTAGTCGGGAACTAGTAGTGTGGGTCAGTTGAATAGTTCTTAGTCACCACTTAATGGCTCAACAGACTTCAGACAGAGATGAATCTGCAATACATTTATAACAACCTGTAATATTACTTTGATTTTAGAGATTCTTTATGTTTCAAAATCATGAAAGTTGAAATCTTGAAAACGAGAAGTCCAATATTTTGATTATCTTGTTTGAACAATTTGTATAACATTTACTTTACTAATAAATACATTAACTAAAATATCTTTAAATAAATCTATTTATAAAAACAAATTAGCACAAAATATCACTACAAGCTTAAAAGTATAACAAATATCTAACTACAATTTTAAAATAATAATACAAGCCAATATGTTTATATTGGTGAATACAACAGAAATATTAACAATTCTAACAATTATTGGCTTAAACAGGATGAAGTGGGGTAACGGTAAAAGATTAGGGAAATATATGTAAAGATCACTTATTACCACACTAACACCCTGTACTAGTAGTTTTTACTAAAAATTATTTGTTATAAAGTAATTACAGACCACAGTATTAATTAACGCTAAAATGTTGTCAGTTAATTTACAAAAATACAAAATTTCTATATCGATCACTAAACTTTTACTATTACTCCACTTGATCTTATTTAAACAAACTCATTATATATTCAAGAAACTAACCTATCATAATTTTGTAGTTTTAACAACTTTAAATTACAATTTTTAATGAGATTTTTTTTTATATATAAACAAATTTCTTATCAAATAAAAATAATTTATTTAAAAATATTAGTAATAACATGTTGATGTTTTTAATATTATTCTTATCAAATATACTTATATTATAAATTTGCTTTAGTTTTGAACAGGACCGTTCTTTTTTGGAGTAATAATAAATTGGCTTTGTTTAAAAAATAAGTTATAATGTAAGTATACAAATATAAAAAAATGAAAGTAAACTAAATCAGCAGGTATATAATAGGTATTATATTATAATAGTAGGTTAATTTATTAGTTATTAGTTATAACGTTAAAATGAAATGAACGTAATAAGTATTTTGAAACTAAATTTAAAACTTATAAACTACCTAGTGTGATTGTTTTTTTTTTTAATTAAGAAAACGTTTTAAAAAAACAGTTTAGCACTGTTTATTTGATAATAAACCGTTTTTAATCAAAACAAATATTTTTCAAAACGTTTATTAGTCCCTCCTTATAAACGCAGTGAATGATCTAAGAGTAATAAAATAATAACTCTGATCATTTTTTATCATTTCTTAATTACAATTTTCAAATTTATTTTTTTTTGTAAAATATGATAAATTTGAAAATAGTTACTATCAGATTTATCGTTGATCCATTTATCGAAAGAAATGCATAAAATTGTAATACTTATAGAATTAATAACTACTACATTTTAAAGCTTTGTATAATATACCATACAATATATTATATTAAGTTATTTTAAAAAGTAAATTATAAATTATAACGAACACTATAGAGTACTAAAATATTACTTATGAAAAGTTGTCAGTAAAAACATAAGCCTCAATAAAATATTTTTTTATATTAGTGACAATTATAGTAAACACTATAAACTGTTAAATTGTTACAAAAACTAGTGTTGTAACGTTTCATAGGCGTTTAATTTAGTATTGTTAGAACTATATAAACTAAAATAAATTTGTAAAAGTAATTTATTATTATTTATTTTTTTTACAAGTTCAATCATTACATAACCCTGTACTTATTTAAAATAAACTAGATTTTTCAGTTCTAACGTTATAGTAGAAGACGGTATAAAAATTTTTCAAAATTTTTTACATTTTGAGATATCTCACTAGGTACCAGTTGGTAAATAATATTTGTAGTGTGTTAGTATAGATAGTTAAATATTAAAAACAAATATGAAATATTAACTTCTCTCATAACGTCAAAGTTATGAGGCGTTAGTGTCGCATTCCTTTTTAACTATTTAACAACTATCTTATTTGGCACATAATCTGTTGCATTAATCTCAAATTGACAATACTACACTTCTAAAGTAGTTCAAAATATGTAGAAAAAAATGTATTACTTTCTTAAGTATAATAGAAAAATAAAAATTGTGGGAATATAATTGTAAATATAAAGTAATCTAAATTATCTGATAAAAATGCTGATATTATATTGTCATAATAGTATAAACTATTGAAGATAAGAATGAACTGTTTAATGGCGAGATTTTTAAAAGTATAAAATATTATACGGTTATCAAAAAACTATACTCTTAAAAACAGTTGTATTATGTTATTGGATTGTTTTTTTTTTTTTTTTACTAAGCCTGCGTAAAGTACATTTTGCGTTAACGATGTCTACACTTATTTTTTTAAAGCTACTTAAGTACAATAATATACACATTGAAACAAGTGTTTTTATATTATTAGCTTGAAGTACAAATATTTCAAAATAATATCAATAATTACAAGAACATGTTTTATGTCGATAAATACCGTACGACGTTGATAGTTGTGCGATAACGACAAATAAAGTATAATTTTTTAAATCTAATTTTGTCCAACATAAAACATAGTGTTGTTATTTTCTTTGAGTTCTTCTGGAGTAGTACACTGTAGTATCGAGTACTCAAGTATACAGATAATATTATTACAAAGCCATTGGAAGAGTCGAATGTGTGGCGCCGTTACTTACCTCGACTGTACTTCTGGGACGTCGAGATGTCGGCTATCCAAAAACTTGTTTTTCCCTCTGTATATGACACACAAATGTTGACGACATGTTGCAAAAAACGTTTTTACGCCGTCGGCGAAACAAAAAATGAATTGCGAATTCCGATTTTGCTAGGCTAAAATGTAAATCATTGTTCGCGTTATCAGTGTCAACTAAGTGATAAGGTGAACCAGGCGTTTGCAAGCCGCCTATTTCCAAGGAGGATATAAAAATAGCCGAGGCGGCAAACACAATAATACCATACCAAGTACGGCGCCCCATTTAAGCTCGTGTTCTTCGGTTTTATGATTGCCAATTTTAAAGAAAATCTACTATCGTACCTTAATTAAAATTTCAAGTAAAATAATTACTGTAATCATATTAAACGTACATTGACCAACTGGAATACCCGATTGGAGAACAAATACAATACAACGTACAACTTGATAACATAATTATTTTTTCAAATACTTAATATGTAAGTACATTGTACATATAGTTTAAGGTTTATTCATACGACTCAATTTATACCCATCTATTATTGCATAGATTTTTTTTTATTAAACCTTAGTATTGAAGTGTGTGCCTAACAATTACTGTACATTATAAAATAACATTTACAAAGCAAAAAATTCCATTTTACACCCTTCGCTACTGTTCAGAACGTATTAATTATTATTTCTTAGACTATTCAATAGTGAAATCGTGTATTACAACCATGTTTTACATTTTGAGAGCCGTCTTTTAATTTATCCATAACGATAGTTCATTTCAATTGCATTTTTTTTTTTTGTAATTTACAGTGTCATTTAAGTTCAAACTCCAATAACACCATATTATGTGATATTAATACCCTTTGAATTCAAAATTAAAGTTAATTATCCAATTACTTATTTATTAAGTCATTTAAAAATGATTATATTAATTTGTAGAAAAACTATGATACATTTAGTAGACAACCCGATTTTCTGGTCAACTAACAAAAAAAAATGTATTTGATGTCGGGTTGCATAAACGTGCACTAAACGTTAAATGAACCAATAGACGTTCAAGGGTTCCTACTTCCAACAAATATAATTTAGTGGTCCGTGATTGGTCCATCCAATTTAAATGAACCATTTAATTTATAAATTATTTATGCAACCCAGCATACATATTATTAAAATGTAAGACACTATAGAGTGGTTAGTTTAAACGACGATATTATATGGCAGAATTTGGTTTTCGGAATAAATATATTTTATTTTAATGTAAAATATTTTAGTCAAGTAATTGCTAGCATTTTTAGTATACAAAGAAAAAAGTGATTAAAAAAGGTACATACTGAGAACCTGTTTATGATTTCAATGTAAAATACTAAAATGTTAATACTTAATAATATATATATAATTTGATCAATAGTTTTCACTCGATAGAATATTTTTTTTTACATAAAATACAATTATATGACGTAAGCTGTTTAGATTTCAATAAAATATAATATTTAAAACATGTATTAACTGAAAATCAATACACGTAAAAAAAAAAATGGTTAATAACACTTTTAATATTTATCTTAGGAAAAAACAATTAATTTCCCAATTTAGTTACGTTAGTTTATGAAATTGGAAATGGCAAAACTAGATTAAATGAAGAAATTCTTACTAAAATTGTTCGCCTCTTAAAATGAGTTGATTATAAAGAAGTATGATATTTTTTTGACGTTAAAATATCGTTATCGGCTATAATTTATTTATAATGTTTATTATAATATAGTTATTTATTTAGTACAATTAATTATAATTAGGTGTTTTAAATTTCATGACAATTATTTTTGCGAAATACCTATTTAAAAAAGATGAAAAATAAAATATAACCTAGTTTTTATATACTACAACCACGGCCTATAGTAATTTATTTCAATCATAATACAAAAAAAAAATGCTTTCATATAAATTACCAAATTTAAACGTTAAATGCTAAAATAAATTATTATTTAAAAAATTAATATAAAAAAAAAACTTGTACTTTATAACCCTTTTTTTTATCCATTGATTGGAAATTAAAAAAAAATCAATATTGAAAAAAAAAATATGTACCTAGGTAAATAAGATTGCCGATTACAATATAGCTACCTATAAAATATGTAATTCAATAATTATGTAAACACTGTTTTGAAGTTTGATATCATTAAAAAAATATATTTTAATAGTTTGAGTAATTTTGAGTATTTAATTTAATTTTTCATTTATGAACAATAATCATAATATATTTTTTTTTAATATCATTTGAAAACGTTCTCACATTGTACTCAGATGCAACACTAATGATGAGACCCTGGTAAGTGAAATCACTATGCGCACAACAGCTGTGATGGGCCGTCGTCGCAACGTGGATCGGCTGCCGTTAACATTCATAGAAGCATAGAGCCCTGGTCTTCAATTTTGCCTTAAGTATTCCCTAAACCCTTACATAAACCACTTGCTGATAATATTTTTTTATGAAAACAGTCAAAATAATAAAACATAGTCTGTACATTGTTAAAAAATGTATTTAAACATTTTACATATTGTATTTATAATTTAGTAAAACTATAAAAATAATTGTTATTTTACAAAATAAGGCAATTAACAATATTTAACTTATTTAAATATAATTAATTATTATTAATACTTTATGTTTTAACATTTATCACTTCAAAGGGTACCTATATGAGCTTGTAATTATTTAATTTTATTTATTCTTACCCATTTTTTTTTTGTACATAATAGAATAATAGGCTAAATGTTACCGGGAAAATATAAGATAAAAAAGTGTATAAAAAAATCCCAAAGCTACTTATAAGTACACGGGGTTGACTCAAGGGAGACTTCACTCCGCACACGCCCATTTAACCTTTTACAAAATGTATTCCTTTATTTATTTTTCTATCGAGCAAATTAATTTAATTTTTTTAAATGTAAATCATACAATTTAGCTTCGATGCGATAGCTTAAAGATGGTAGTATTTTTGTTGAACCTTGAAAAGTATAATCAATACAATAAGTGTAAATCCTGTATTTGTAAACATACATTTTCATGGAGAATAATAATTCATAGATTTCTGTAGCTATTGTTATTTTTAGTTTTTCTCCATTTTTCTCTCTTTTTGTGTCAGTTTTAAATTATTATCATTTAATATTAGTAGGTATTACAATTAGTTGGGTCCTTGTATATATTTGCTTGTGTTGAGTAACGAACACTGTATATAGTGTAAAAATTAACGGGGTTTAACAGAATACCTGTATAAATACCTATAAGGTATAATCACCTTATACATAATTGTACATTAAAATGTATTAAGATAGCAAAAGAGAATACAAAATGTTTGAGAATTATTAGACACACTTTTTCAAAAAATAATTTCTGACCATATTTGTCATTATTATATTAAAATGGAAGGCGAGTAATGGAAATCTGGCACTCATATGGCTTATTTTAGTTTCGGTGGTATGAAAACGCCAAAAATTAAATGCAATTATTTTGTATAGGAACTAAATACTTATACTTGACTCAAAACGAAAATAATTATTGTAAAAAATTTGGTTCATATTTTATTTATTAAAAAAAACGACGATGGCTTACATTTAGACATACTTTTGGATTTGGCTTCGAGTAATCTATTTAAGTGTTTTTTTTATACCGTTAAGTGTTTCTTGATCTCGGTAAGCCAGACGGTTTTTTTTCATGGTCGTTTTGTAAATCCAAACGGTCGTTACCAAAAAGTCATCGGAATAAGCTAAGACCGTATATACGTCTTATTGCCATATATTTCTACGTTTGAACGTCCCCCTCCCCATTAAAGACCCACGCTAAAGGAACCGACACAAACGCAATATATTTTGCGCAGAAATAACGCGGCAAGTGTTAAATCGGTAAATTGAGTCTTCAATCATTTTTATTATCGTCCACTCGTCGTTTGCAAAACCGCAAACGGCGCTAGCGATAAGATGTAGAAAAATATAATATTATTATTATTATTATTATATAGGATAAGACACACTCCTTTATTTTTTCGTTCACAATATATAAATATATATATATATATCTTTTTTTTCCGCCATCCCTTATACACTGTTGTATATAAACTACCCGCCTCGGTCTCTGGTTGCGCACAACAAACACACGGACGGGCGAGCACGCAGTATAAAATGTCGTTTAATGAACAGAGAAAAACCTTCTGACCAACCGCACCTATATATATATATATATAACATAATATGTAAGTATACCTATATATTGTGCTCGAGAGTCAGTGTGTGTTTACGGTTATTTTCTCTCTTTCGTTCCAACCAAAAGTCCATCCATAAAACATTAGGTTCGGCGAAAAACCAAAGGCGCCTGGCGCGTGTGTGCCGGGCAACTACTAACTTATGGATACTGATGACTTTGCTCAATGAGCTCCTAGGACCATATTTCAAAAAAAAAGAAAAAAAAGCCACACACACACACACAAGCAGTGTGCGGTGAAAGCTTCTATCTACTTGGCGTTTCTTTCCGCATGATAAACTGTCTGTATGACAAACACAACCGAACTTTTACCAAGTATCAGCCGTTTGTCATTTTATATGGGGCCATGATAAAATAGAAACGGAGGCGGCACTGCGCAGCTGTATATAAGTAATATAACCGTATATCACACTCAGGTACATAATAAAACGTATACATATATAAGGCAGTGTAAATCGTATAAATTCCTATTTTGATTTTTGTCAATAATTAGTAAAATTCGATTATAATTTCTATTGTTTTGTCGTTATACCGCCCACAGAAACACTGTATAAATATGCAGTACACAAAAAATGAAAACAGCGAGGTTTATGCAATAACTTAAAAAATGAAAAAAAAAAAATTATGTACACCTACCTACTTCTTAACTTAAAAATGATATATATGATATTTGTGTACAATAAATCCGATGGTCACATTCCATAGTGTGCCTATAAATTATTATTGAAATATACTATATTGCGGTTCGTTGTATTTGGATAAATAACTATATTACCAATTATATACACATACACTTACAACGTTTCTATCCCATATATATATATTTTACATTACAATACTGGTTTTTTATTAGAACTTAGATAAAATAGTATAATTTACAAGACCGCGTAGAATATATTATAATATAGTAGAAA